GTTACTATTGAACCATGTCTTGAACCGAGTGTTTATGAATATACACTCGATGGTGAAAAAATTAAATCGTAAAATTTTGAATTTTAAAAATTAAATCTAAAACATATATTTTTTTTATTATTTATTTCCTAGAACTCAATCAATGTCTGATCATTTTACAAAAATTCTTAGTCGTATGGAATTAAATGATTTATGTTCAGAAGATTCAATTGAAAATTCTAATGAAGATGAACGTCGAATAACAAATGGAGGAAAAAATGCATTTGGAACATTTCTTGAACAAATGAGGTAACAAAAAAAAAATCAATATAATTCTAATTATTTTGAAAATTATTTATCATATTCTAGACAAGCTAATATTGAAATATGTGCATTACATGATATTCTAACATTAGTTATGAGTCGTCGTTATTTTAATTTATTTTCAAATGTTGCTGATATAGAAGAAAATTTAAATACAGGAAATGCTCGACAACAACGTGATTTATTAATTCGACAAAGTCAAGATATAATACATAAATCATGGATATCAAAACGTACAAGTGCACGACAAGCAGCTGATGTTTTATTATCATCATATGAACGTTTTATGAAAATAATTAATACAACAAGTGGAAATTTAGAAAATTTTCATGTACAATTATCAAATTTAAGACAACGTTGGAAAATAAGAAAACAAACAAATACAAATAAATATCTAGGAGATTTGTCATTTCGATCAGGTTAATTAGAAAAACAAAAAGATTTGATTTTAATTGTTTTTTTTTTTTTTCTTTTAAAGCTGGTTCATTTTATCCATTTAAAATGCAATTTGAAGTAACAAAAGCTGATAGTCATAAACGTACACATAATAATTCTATTGATGTTATTATACCAGAAGAATTACAAGTTCGTGTTATATTAAAAATTGATATTGAAACAAGTATGTGTCTATGTTTTGTTCAAATTTTCATAATAAACAAAAAAAAAAAATTTTTTTTTATTTTAGAAGATGGACAAATTTTACTTCGTACATATTCAACAATGATGGCTAATGATACTATAATGAATATCAATGATAATAGTTATGATTCAATATTAGAAAATGCTCAACGTACAGTTTTTTTAAAAGAACTTTTTTCACAAGTAAATTGTTTTTTTTTTTCTTTGAAATTTTAACATTGAGAAAATAATTTTAGCTTTGTCGAGAAGCATCGGATATTACAAATATAATTCAACCAACAGTTATGAGAAATTCAATTAAATGTTGGGTTTGTAGATTTTATTATTTATTGAACAGGGAAGAAATAGAAAAATCATAGATCTTTATAATAGTGTAATATCTTAGTGGGATTAAAATATGAAAATACTTTGTAGTTATTATTCTACTCTTAGTGTAGGATCATTTTGGTTACTCGCATGACCATGTAATAGATAAAATAAAATTAAACGATATGAGAAGTCCTGATTTGTTTTTCTTTCATGACGATATTGAGTAGGTTAAAAGCAGGTTATATCCTATGATATTGGAGTAATAAAAAAAAAATCAAAGAAGTGAATAATGAAAAAAAATTAATTTTGAAATAGTACATGTCTTTTTTTTTACACATACCATCATATGACTATCGATTTTTGTTTGAGATATTGAAGACATTTTATCTATATTTAATAATAGTTTTATCTTTTTACATGATGAGATTTATACAAATGGAAAACGGCATAGTCTAGTACTTTCCTGCTGCCTGAAGTTCTTGTACTCCACCAACTCTGGAAGTACAGGAGTACGTCATTTCCCATTTGGATTAAAATTATTTCTGAATTTTTAAAATCTCTCCCAAAATCCTCAGAATTATTTTTGGTTTTCTGAAAAGAAAAAAACAAACTTTGTATGCTTAGATATAATAGGAGACTCAAGGTTGAAACGAGTTTATTTCTAAGGTTCTTTATGAATAATAGAAATCAGTGTCATATTAGATATCAATCTTTTGAGTCTAGGATTATTTTTATATAGTTAAAACGACGGTTGACAGGCAAATCGATCCTATAAAAATAATTCCATACACAAAGAATTAAATCGGACATCGAAATAAATGCTAATATTATATTAGTCTTGAATTGTTTATGTGTCATTAAAAAAATAAAATTAATATTTTAGATTCTTTCCGATGTAATGATGACAATAAGTCTTTTACGTACAAGTGAATTTGATCCAAGTATTCAAACAGAATCAACACTTTACGTAAGGAAAAAGAAAATTTCCTCGTTTTTTTTTTTATAATTTATTTTCTAAATCATTTTTTAGGGTGCACATATTGGTTTATTAGAATATTCTTTATGTGCTTTATTACGTCAACAATTTCTTCGTAATTTTCATTATTCACAATTAAAACCTAGTACACTTATGTTAGGTATAATAGATAATTTTAAAATTTTTTCTTATAAAAAAATTTTTTGTTTTTAATCTTAGGCGTACCTGCATTAAGACGTATTGCTGGTGTTAATGCTTTTAATTATAATCAATTAAAATCTATAAGTGAAAATAAATCAATTTTACAAACAATTATTGAACTTGCTCAACATCAAGTTATTCGTGCTCGGTAAAAGAAAAATTCATTAAGATAAGAACTATGAGAGGGTGTGGGTGAGATTTCTCTTTTTCCTACACTCAAATATCACTGCATTGAATGTACACAAAAATAAAAACTAGTCTCATAATTTCTCTTTTAAATCATTATGTACTTAAATTTTTTTTTTTATATTCATTTAGAATATTAAATTTATTAAATAATTTAGCAACAAATTGTGATATAAATATGACTGTGAATATAAGTGCTTTTAGTTCAACAACATCAACATATGGACGTGTTCATTTAATAGCACCTGGTTATGATGTTTTATGTCGGTACGTTTTTTCAAATAAAGCAAAAAAAAAAAAAAAGATTCTCAGAAATTTGTTTTTTAGTTGGTCTTATATGTTTCAAATAGAAGAATGTCAAGTTAAAATTCAATATAAATCTCATTTAGTCGAATTTCAACATCATGTTGAAGAAGTTCAAAGATTTTTTATTAATCAAGTAAATATTAAATTATCATTTTTTTTTTTTCTTAAATAACGACTGATGTAAAAGTCTTGGCACAAATGTCGAGACCTGTAGTATTTCAACAGAAAGTGCTAGAGATCTAATTCTTTCACCATTAGATAGACCAAAGTGTCTGCTTTCAAACTCACTTTTTGAAAAAAGCTTTTGATGAAGTTAAGGTTTTCAAATTTTAATTTTTGAAAAACCACTAAAAACAACTTGTAACCATGCGAAATTAGGAAATGTTACGATAACACACCTTTATGTAAGTTTCACAGTTTTTCGCTGTGCTACAAAAATTTAGTAGCTCAGTAGCTACGATTCAAAAAAAAAGCTTGGTTCAATCAAACATAGTCTGGCTGAGTTATAAGTGGATTTAATTATGACGAAATTGGCGCCAAAGCGCTATTTTGTTCATTAGTAGTGTTTAGCTGATTTTCAGGAGATGAAAACGCCTATTCCCAGTTTTTCATATGCATTCTGAAAGGTCTTGAAAAACAGCATCTTTTGGATTAATTAAAAATTTTTGTCTTCCTAAAAATACCTAAATTGCGCACCAAAAACCCAACACTGCCGTGCTTTCGCTTAAAAGCCTGATTGCGGATTACCATGGATACGCACAAATTTCGGAGTGAGATTTTGAAAAACCCTACACTTCAGACTTGATTCCCTGGAAGTTTCAGCTCATTATCTATTAATTCGACAAGAATACTGTTGTTTTAAATTAAAAAAAAGCGCGAAAAAGGATCAAAAGTTACAAACCGTTTTTAATGGTTTTTGAAAATTTGAAATTTGAAAACCTTAACTTCATCAAAAACTTTTTTCAAAAAGTGGGTTTGAAAGCAGACACTTTGGTCTATCTAATGGTGAAAGAATTAGATCTCTAGCACTTTCTGTTGAAATACTACAGGTCTCGACATTTGTGCCAAGACTTTTGCATCAGTCGTTAAACTCATTTTCTTTTAGATCGCTTGTTTTAAATTTACAATTGCTTGTACATTAGCAAAAATTTTTGGTTGGTTAGTTGTTGGTAGTACAATGGCACCAACTGTTGGTAGATTAAGTGAAATTCAATTTAGTGCTCAACTTGATCATCCACAAATACCTACGTAATATTTCAAAATACATCATCCCACGTCAGATTCAGTAGTCATATCCCCTAAACTAGGATGTCATATATGCAATTTATAGTACATGTAAATTTTCATAACTTATATGGCATTCTGATTTAGGATAGGCCACTATATCCGACTGGTGGTTCCTTGCTTTCTATAAAATAAATTCTTTTCTTTAGATCAATTGGAATACGTATTGGTGATGATTTACAATTACAAGTAGCTGTACGAAAACGTCATGAACGTAATGATGATACACGTATGGATGATGATTCCAATGAACGAATAGGAGGAGGAACAAAAGGAATTAAATATGATTCAATTAATTTAGATGATTATTATGGTATATCAACATTACAAAAATTTGAAATGTTTATTTCGAGTTTATTGCATCATGAAAAACAGCAATAGAATTTTACTTTTGTTATATAAATACATTTCAATAAAAAAAAAAAAAAAAAAGAAATATTTATTTAATGTTTATTTATTTAGTTCTTTTTGTTTTTTGTTTGTTTGAATAGTATGAAATGATTTTAGACATCGGAAAGCTACGTACATCAAGAGAACTTGGACACATTATTACTGACTAGATAGTTTTAGAAATTTCGTTGTTGACTTATGGCTCCGAAAACAACAGAAGAAATCGCTAGAAAATTCATAGATTTTTTTTTTTGGCTTAGAACATGACTTTCAAGTTTCGTGTTTTCTATAATATAAAATATATGAAAATTAAGTGCAAAAAAAAATGTTTTGAAAAATTCATCTACTCTTTTGAATTTCTTGATTTTTTTAATGTCAAGTAAATCTTATGGAACTTGTTATGTAGTATTTTTTTTAAATAGTTATATTGTTGAAACAAAATGAGAAATGTTTCAAACGATGCTTGCACGTTAATGCAAATGCAGAATCGTAGCATTGTGCTTATTGAAAGCCATGGCTTTTTACAGAAAGGAAAAATAATTCTCAAATTATTGATAATGTATCAAGCTAAGGAATGGTTTTATTTCATAAAAATTTTGTATCTAAACTTTGAATATAGAATAAAATCGATTAATTAAGAAAAACGAAATGGGTATTTTTTTTTGTTTTGAATAAATTATTGAAATCCACATATATGAATTAATCAATTAATTAAATTACATATTGAATTTTTAATTTTTTTCGTTTTTATCCATGAACTACTGCCATCTTCTATTAAAAATTATCATATATTTTCGTTTGATTACATTTAAAGTTATAACGTGATTGAATTTTTCATTCAATTGTTTATCATAGAGGAAAAGATAAATAATCATATTATTCGTTGTATTAAAAAAATGAATTTCTTTCAATAAAATCTGTATCTTTTTTTTTTTGTTTTTTGTGTTCATATTCAGATCAATAATCATGGTGAATACAACAGTTATGTATGATGGACAACAAATGCAAATAAATTTACCCGATAATCCATCATTAGATATAATATATAAATGTTTATATGAACAAATGCCACGAACATTTGATTTTCGTACACATATTATTCAATTATTTGATCCAACAATAGGAGAATTTTTTGATTTAAATGATGATGGTCTTAAATCATGGTATTGTCTTCCATATAAAGAAAAAAATCATATGCGTTTACAAATAATTCGTGCTGGTATTGATTATGATAATACAAATGAACATGAAATAAATACAAATAATAATAATAATAATAATATGTCTGAAGTTTTTAAAAAAATTGAACATGATATTGAGAATTTATTTGGTGCTATTGAAAGTAGAAAATGAAAAAATTTTTAATAAAAACAAAAAAGAAAATTAGAAATTTTCTTTTTTTTTTGTTATTTAGATCTTCAAACAACAGCTAATGGTATTCGTCAAGATTTTAAATCAGCTCTTGATAAATATAATAAATATCAACAAGAAAAACTCTTATCAAATAAAACAAATACATCTATAACACAACCATTAATATCAAATATAAATCGATTACAAAATAATATTAATTCACAAGAAAAAAATTTATCATCAACAAAAATTCAAAATGGTAATATTGAACAACGACCAATACGTTATCCAGCTGAAGATATTCGATTTAAAAATAAACCACAACAAGAAAATATTGTACCTATTCCTGTTACACCACAACAAATTCCATTAGTTTCAAATGTTTATCAAGACGATGATGAAGATGATGATGATGCATTAACTGAACAGAATAATAGTAGTACAGCAATTAGTCAATGTAAGTCAACAGTACACTTCACATATGATCTAATAAACAAAGCATTTGATAATCTCATTTTTACGAATTCAATATCTCGTGAAGGAAATATTTTAGTCATATATAGGCCTATCTGTGAGCAAATTATTAAGTCAAAATTTTGTCATTCAATTCTCTTGGGGTATTAGTAACCAGGCCACTTTTTTATGACCCAGTCCGAGCCCGAAGAAAATTTCGTTTACAAAGATGGAGAGCTGTTGCATATTTTTCATCTTTTAGAAAAACGTGATAACCGGGGGGCGGGGAGCGCGATAACTTCCCCTCCTCAGGGGTGAGCCACATGTCAAAAAAAACGGTAAAATCGTCGGGCGGAGCGACCCGACCCGATAAAATATTTGTTTGAACCGAATGACCCATTAGTATCATACGCTCTCAGTGCCGTATTACTTAGGACTATTCGAAAAAAATGAGTTCGATAAAGTTGTGATAAATGTCGGATAGCTCAAGTCACTTCAAAATATGTAGCATAGCTACATTTGACTTCATTTTAATATGAAACCTACTGTGTCGAAGCCTTATAAGAAGATAACGTTATTGTGGATCCAACCGAGTCCACACCCGAGATTTTTTTCCATGAATACTTGGCACTCTTCGTGTGCATGAACAAGTAAAGGATCAAAGTTTTCTCTTAGAAAAAAAAAACCTAATGTACAGTTATATCTTGTTGCTGTATTTCTCATCTGAGGAGCAGCAAGTCCACAAAAGCGTGTAATAAATAGCCTGAAAGTTTCAGCTGAATGTTTTTTTTTTTTTGAAGACAATTCGATATATTGGCAAAACAATATTCTTTTTCGACTTATCTATGGGAGAAATATTACGTCAGAATTCTGTTTTTTTTAGTATTATTGTTCGTCAATAGTAGAAAATTTTGAAACTATAAATCAATCATTTCTAGTAGTTCTCTCGTAATTATTCTTTGAAATAAATTGACAATGAAGGGGATTGCTAATGGATTATTATTGAATTTTTTAAAATCATACATATTGTTCAAATGTTTTATTACATATTTCTAATCTCTTTATCATTTAATATTAAATAAATGGTTAATTGTATTTTTATTAAAAACTTTGAATCTAAATTTTAGCTTTACCAATAATCGATATTGAAACATTATTATTAAATGTTGGTGAAGATTTTCAAGCACTTGTTTCAATAGCTGTTAATCCATCATATTTCTTTGTTCAAAATACTTTATATACACATGATCTTGAAAAACTTGCTCAAAGCATGAAGTATACTATCGTTATTTTCTTTTCTTTATTTTATTTACTAAATATTTTTAGTGATTATTATTCAACAACTGATCCACCATCAATACCTTATAAACCAATGGAAATGAGTTGTTGTGCAGCTCGTTATTCAGTTGATAATCGATGGTATCGTGCTCGAATAAAACGATATAGTTCTGGTAAGTACATTAAGGTGGATGAGGAAAAAAAAATATGTTTGTTAAACATTTTTTTTTGTCCATCATTTTATAGAAAAATGAATTCTAATTTATTATTCGAAAATTTTGTTTTTTATCTTAATTAGAAACAACTGTTGAACTTGTTTATCTTGACTATGGCAATAATGAAGAACGTAATATTAATGAATTACGTCCACTTGATCCAGCTTTTTCTCGTTTACCTGCTCAAGCTATTTGTGCAGCACTTGAGGTTTTTTTCTATTTAGAAATTAAATTTTAATTTAATGGCTTTTGACTTTTTTTTGTAATAGTTATTACCAATCAATGGTGATAATAATAGTTCATGGACAAAAAAAGCTAGTTTTAAATTTCATGAAGATACATTAACTAAACCACTTGATGTACGTATTATTGCACAACCAACTTTACAATGGTAAACAAAAAAAAAAGACATGATTGATTATGTGATTTTTTTTTTTTGATAAATATTTTTCTTCTAGGCCAATGTATTTTGTACAACTTACAATTGATGAACATACTGTAAAATAGAATTTGAAAGATATTCATTATTATTATAATTTTATTTAGGATGTTGCTGAAACATTAATATCATTACGTCATGGTCGACGAGCATCACTTGCTGAAATCGTACAAATTGTTGGTCCTCGTCTTGATCTTAATGATTTTGCTGCTTATAATTTACCAAAAGAAAGTTCGTTAATTACATGATAGAAGGAAATAGAAAAAAACCCACCCGAGTATGTTTTTTTTTGTTTTTGATAGTTCTACAACAAGCAACACATCTCATACTTCCTCAAAGACAATCACATAATGTTTCAAATATGTCGAATGTTATGAAACAAGATGGTGGAATGCAGGTAATCACTTTATTAATAATCGAAAATTTGAAAAAAATAAATTTTACTAATAATATTTTGTTTTTGAGAGAAAACGTGCGTGAGAAGAGACCTTGGTCTAATTTTTTTCTTCAAAATTGTTGTGAATTATTCGATGCAGTTTCATGTGTTGATTTCGAATATACTATTTTTTTTGCCCGCAGGAAATTCACTATGCAGTTCAGAAATGTTTGTTACATAGTAGCTGAAAGAACATTCTGACAAAATTTGGAGATTAGATTACTCATTTTATGAGATTAGTTCTTTATTGATTTATCTGGTGAACAGTTTAATTTTGTTAGATATCGGTTTTCAGACAACAATTTCCTGTAATAAAAATTATTTATACCATTGGATAGATTATATTTCGAAGTATATAAATATTAACAAAAAGCATGGTTCTCATTTTTAATCAAATCTTCGCCTAGATGCTCATTATGCCTTCCCCATAGATCGTATATCAATAACGTTCTCGTTCTTGAAGAAACATGTTTCTAAATAGAATAAAGCAATCTTCTTGTGATTAGACAGAGCTTGCCGTCCTAACAGTTTTTATGTATAATATATTATTATTATTCTAGGGTAAAATTTCATCAAATTTATCCGATAGAATTTCTCGTTCAAGTAATCTTCCATTGATTAATTTAAATTTAAATGAACATATTGGTTCATGTACAATAACATCAATAACATCACCATCACATTTTTTTATACAATTAACAGAAAAAAATAATTTCGAACAAATTTATAATAGTGTTAATGAAACATATCTTGAACGTATATCATGTGATCGTATGACACGTTTAAAAACTTTTTCATTAAATACATTAGGTGTTGC